GAGAAAACTTTAATATACGTGTATGTTTAACATAACAGCAAATGTACAACGTTTCGACAAGGTTTTGTCACCTGATGAAGACAAAACCTTGTCGAAACGTTGTACATTTGCTGTTATGTTAAACTTGTATTAAAGTTTTTCTTCATTACTCATTCAAGCCATCTCCAGCCATTATTAGTCTCAAAGTGGGTTCCTCGTCATCGAATTTTACTCAATGAATGCCCAGATTAAGCTACTACTATTGAATGACATAATGCATGAGCTGCTTGTGAGCATACTTTGTGAATAATTTTCATTATTATTTTTCATTATCTCACCTAATATAACCTAAAAAGTTACTAAATTTTATATTTTAGTTACTTTTATAATAATAAATAAAGAATATACACGAAGACCAAGAAATATGGTACTTACTTGTGTCTCTTTGTTTTTTGCTGTTGACTATCAGTGAAAGTTAAAAAATCTTCCCTAGTAGTTTATGTTAAAGCTTACAGATGTTGTGAAAGTATTTGTGAGAACTCGTATTACTCGGACAAAAAAAAAAAGAAAAAGCATTAACCAAAATAACACTTACTAACTTCTTTAATAATTTTTGGATATTACAGACCACATGATCCTTTACCCCAACTGTGGTGCAGTACCCCTGTTCGGCAGATTTCTTCTGATGGCTCTCTAGCATTAACCAAAATAACACTTACTAACTTTTTTAATAATTTTTGGATATTACAGACCACATGATCCTTTACCCCAACTGTGGTGCAGTACCCCTGTTCGGCAGATTTCTTCTGATGGCTCTCTAGACCTCTCGGGAAAGAAGAAGTCTGTTGTTGCCAAACTCAACTTCTCACCTCAAACACCTGATCCACTGATTGTTCACCCGGGTGTTATCATAGCAATGCTACATTTGATACCATCTATTACTTGTAGTACTGATGAAATTGTAAGTTATGATAGTTTTTCATTTGTTTTATAAAATAACATCGTTAAGATATGCATGAAAATATGTAACTAATCTGTGCAAAATGTCACAAAGTCCGGTCACTTTAAATGGGCATGGCCGAGTGATTAATGTACGTAACTTTTAGATTGGAAGGTTCGGGGCTCATCAGTCAATGATAAGTTACCAGACTTACTTTTGTGGAATGTTTTAGCTGCTATTAAGTTAAACTTAGCAACATGGGCATTGGGTGCTCACTAGCTGTCTTTCACTTGGTCAGCAGTTCTGTATTAGGGATGGCTGCGCTTGAACCTTAGTGGTCTGTGACCCTTCTTCTTCTTCTTAACTAATGTGTTTGCTCAAGGGACATTCAGATCTTCTTCAGCGATTTGCATTATTTCTGTATGTAAAAAGAAAAGAAAAATAATTCAATAAAATTTTTCCAGCTGTATGCAAAATGAGCTATATTAACAAAAGTATATACTTTTTTTCTTTTGATCCAGTTGTATTGGATACATTACCAAACCCTACCAATGTATTAAACCTTAATGATATAGTGTTGTATTTTTATTTCATAAATGAGGTAAAAATATTAAAGATATTTGGCTGGTAATTGTTAGCTTAAGTTTTGCTTCTACCAACAAATTATATTCTTTTGAGCTTGTGTTGTATTCATGTTATACTTGTACTCCAGATTTACTTTTTATGATAGTCTGTTTTGTGTTGTATTCATGTCATACTTGTACTCCAGACTTACTTTTTATGATAAAGTCTGTTTTGTGTTATATTCATGTCATACTTGTACTCCAGACTTACTTTTTATGATAAAGTCTGTTTTGTGTTGTATTCATGTCATACTTGTACTCCAGACTTACTTTT